TTTTTTAATTTTTAAATATCATATTACTAAATTTTATATAATTTAAGTATGAGTAAAAATTATAATTTAACAATTAATAAATATTAAAAAAAACTAAGATTTTATATTTTAAATTTAAAAAAATTAAATGATTTTATTTTAAAATAAAGAGATCAAAAGAATAATTTAACCTGAAATATAAAAAAATGACGAAGAAAATGAAAAAAAAAAAATAAGAATAAGAAGACGACGACGCGTGTGTAGTAATTCTGACAAAAATACAAAGTTAATGTCAATAATTAACGATTTAGAGTTAATGACAATGACTAATTGTCTAAAAATAAATAAATAAACAATAGACTAAAATTGAAAATTTTATGAGAAATTAAAAATAAAGTTTGCTATATTTAAAGGAATGAATCCTATCTTCATAAGTAAATCAAAATATTGAATTGACTGCATTAAATATTTCTTAGTTGTACATCTTTAAAACGCTCATTAATAAAACTATTGATTCTATGTATATTTTTCTGACAAATCTTTCCGGTCAATAGATTAAAAAGCTATTTGATTTTTTTTTTTAATTTTTATTAAGATATTAAATATATTTATTTTATTTAATAATTAATTTATTGAAGATAGTAAGTATTTTTTTATCCATAAGTAAACTATATGAACAACGATTTCAATATTTTTTCAATGAATATAAATTTTCTATATCAAAATAAGTATTAAATAAACAAAAAAGTTAAAATGTATATTTAAAGTGAGGGAATAAAAATGGAAATTATTTTAAAAATTTTATCAAAAATATAAAATCTTTAATATTAAAATGTATATTTAAAATTATGCTTTAAGATATTTAAAAACCTTTCCAATTAGTAAATTAAAAATATTAATTATGTCTTAAGATATTTAATTAATACAATTATTTTCATTTAATTAATCATTAATTAAATATGTTAAGTATACTTTTTTTAATACATTTAATTGCATTTAATGTTTTACTTATTGAAAAAATATATTAAATAAAGAAAAATCTTAAATATATAATTTTTGTTAAATTAATTTGTTAGTCGTATAATTTAAAACACTTAAAAAATGAAAATAAAAAAGAACTCTAAAATGATACTTATAATTAAAAAGGTTTGTCATTAAATTTTTTATCTGTTAACTCCATTAAAAAAAATTTAATTTATGTTAATCGAATATTGTGACATGATAATTATCTTTAATATAATAATTAATTATCTTTTTCTTTTCATTTTTTAATTGATTCTAATCAAATCACTAATTATAATATGTTAATTAAAAAGTTTAGAATTTATTTCATGTTTAAATTTATATTATATTTGAGTTTTGAAACTCTTTACGTTTTTTAATTTACATTTATTCATCAATTAAAAATTGAGAAAAAAGAAAATTAAGCACATAACTTTTCATCTATATAATTCAAGATTTTAATTTAATATTTTAGTTTATGTAATATACAACAGAATCTCTATTTTGTATAACTAAAATTTTAACATGTAAATATTTGTAAATATATTAAGTATATGTAAATAGTTCTTCAAAAATAATCTCATTTAAAAATAATTATTTTAATTTATATAGAGAGAGAATATAATATTATTTTTTCTTTATTTTTTATCTCTCTAAAATTCAAAATAATGATTTTATTTTTTATTATTATGTGACTCTTTTTAATTATATATGTGTCACTAGAAGGTTATATGATCATCTTAAGTAATATTTACTACTGTTTTTGATACTTTATTTACATGTGATATTTTCATTTTTTATAAATTTTTAAAATAAGTGGTATATATATATATATATATATATATATAATATTAATTTGGTCATTCAGGAACAAAAATAGTGACTTTAAATATTTTAGGGATGAAAAATAAAAAAAAGATATATTTTATAAGGACTAAAACCAAAATTTGCTTATTTTATAAAAATCAAAAACAATGTTTACGAATTTTAAAAGAATGAAAAAAAAAATTACATGAAACAAAATCAAAACTTGCTTATTATATGAGAATTAAAAATATATTTAAATCTATTCAAAATTAACTAATATTTAACCTATACATTGAACATGATAAATGGTTATAGGGGTGAGCATAAAACCGAGGCCCGAACCGAACCCGAAAAACTCGATAAAAAAGATTACTTTTGGGTGGGTTTGGGCGGGTTTTACGGGTAAATCAGGTTAAAATTTTGATTCTATACGAGTTATATTGGGCGGGATTGGTTTTAAATTTTTAAACCCACTAAAAACCGAACCCAATCGAAAATGAGATAAATTTAGATTTTTATTACTTTTGTATAACTAAACAACAATGGTCCAAATTCAAAAGTCTTTATTTCAAGTATAATATAGCCATTAATTTGTAACTTTTTTTTTCTTTTTCTCATAACCTAGATATTTATTTTTTCTTCTCCTTCCTCATTCAATTTCTCAACACACTAGTCTATTTTTATATTTTTGTTTTTGTTTCTTTCTTTATCTTTCTTTTCCATTTTTCTATCTCCATTTTGAGTACAACTTGTGCGACAGTAGTTTCTTATAGATTTTGTAATCTAACTTTAGATTTCTTTTGCATGTAACAACTATAGATTTTGTTATCTTTTGTTTTTGTTTCTTTAGTTTGTAAATGTTTCATCTACGAATCTATTTACATCATCTATTGTTACCTTCATTCTATTTTTGTACATTGTTTTAAAAATATTTTTTTACCGTTTTAAGCTTTACCTTCGTTAAAATAACTTGGTCCACAAAAAATCTCAAACCTGATTGTACCCACCCGCACAAATCCGAATCCGTTGCAACCCGAACCGCCTCAAACCGAAAGCTCAGTCGGTCGGATATGGGTCACATTTTTCCAAAGTCGGTTTACAACGGGTTGAACATTTTTCACCTGAACCCGACCGAACCCGCCTGTTGCCCACCCCTAAATGGTTATTTTATATAATTATGATTTATAATAAATAAATATATAAATTATAAATTATTTTTTATATTTATAATAAATAATTTTTATTATAATATAAAATTATTTTTAATTATTACAATTTTAAAATTTTAAAATTGAATTTAACAACAAAAAATTAAAAGAGATAAGAGGTAAAAAAATGTCTTAAAAAACGCTCTTTTTAAGAAAATTATATGTTTAAAATATTTAAACCTAGAAGGAATCATAAAACTTTAGTACAATTAGTTTATTAAAATTAGGGACCTAATTAGAAGCATTTTAAAAAAATGAAAATAAAAAATAATGAATTACCGTATTAAAATATAATCGCCATGTCATAATATCCAAACAGCATAAATTAACGGATCTTTAGTCCCTTATAATAATTGTTTGTTTCAATTTAGTCTCACTTTTATTTTTGGTCTCAAATAAATTAATTGGTCTCAATTTGGTCCCTAATAAATTAATTGGTTTCAATTTGAGACTTCCGTCTAAATTATTTAAATGGAGTTAACTGTGTGGCCACGTGGATGCCACGTAAATGCATAGGTGGATGCCAATTTTTTTGAAAACACTTGGAACCAAAACGGCCCGTTCTGAAACCAGAACGGGTCGTTCTAGTTACACTTTTGGTGTGTTAATTTTGCATCCGGAACGGCCTGTTCCAGGTACAAAATTTACACACTAAAAGTGCAACTAGAACGGGTTGTTCTGGTTTCAGAACGGACCGTTCTGGTTCCAGACTGCTAGGTATAAACGATCAATAATTATAGTTCACGGTTGTGAATTATGGAAGGAAAAAGACCCAAGGTACAAAGCATTTCAAACATTGAATTTGGTAATATTGTCAATATAAATTGATAACTTCAATTGCTAAACAGTTAGGCTATACAGTGTATTATTAAGGACAATGCAATGTATCACTAAAGACAATGGTAGCAGATTTTATTTCATTTTAAACTGGAGTGAACCACTTACTACCAAATTGACACTATACAGTAAAGGATGAAATGACATAATATTTTTTCTTGAAGTCATTAACGATGTACCCCAACAACAATAACCTGTTCTTGAAGAGGTAGAACCTGAAGTAAAGGAAGAGGATACACAGGACTATCATTTCACCACAACCATATGCAGGGACAGATCTAAGTTAATCATAGTGGGGACACTTACCCCCACTAAAATTTTTTTCATTCTTTTTTATATATATAAAATATTAATAATTTTATAAAATATATATTATTAATTATATTTTAATTATGTTGTTATATCTAATATAATAAATATATTAATATTTTTTTATATTTTATTTTATTGTTTAATTATTTTTTATTTTGTGGTAAAATTATCTTCATTTTTAATGAAGAAAAAATTTACTTACTTCAAGAGTAAGTCTTGATAGATTTATTCTATTTAATAATTAATGTTCTATATCAAATTTTTAAGAATTTAATTGTTAAATTAAAAAGTTTTTCATGTATAGATCAAATTTATAAAAAATTTTAAAAAATTAAAAATCATATGATACTTCGTTAAATTAATTCAAATTAACATATAAAATATTTTTGTTTTAAATGAATGTAAAAATTTAGAGGACACTAAAAGAAAATAAATTAATAATTTTATTATGTTTATCCTATTAATTTTTATCATTTTATTCCTCTAATTTTAAATAAGTTGCAAAAAATTATAAAGTAACACTTAAATATTTCTTCAGACAGAAAGAGAAAAAGAAAAAGTTATTACTTTATTTATAAGACAATTGTATTTTATAAAAATAAATAATTTTAAAATTTTTACCATAAAAAGTATTTTTCAAAAGTATTATATTTTTTAATAAAATTAATAAAGAATATTCTATTCTCAGTCTTGGAACGGGCCGTTCTGAATTCAGAACGGCCTGTTCTGATGTACTGGTGGTGTCTTAATTTTGCATCTAGAACGTCCCGTTTCGGATGCAAAATTAACACACTAAGAGTGCATCCAGAACGACTCATTCTGGTTTCAGAACGGGCCATTCTGGTCCAGGTGTTTTCACAAGATTTGGCGTCCACGTGTTTTCTACGTACGCATCTACGTGACATCCACGTGGCCAATAGTTAACTCCGTTTAAATAATTTGGACGGAAGTCCCAAATTGAAACCAATTAACTTATGAGAAACCAAATTGAGACAAAAAATAAAAGTGGGACTAAATTGAAACAAATAATTATTATAAGGGACCAAAATAGATTTTTAGCCAAACTTTTAACTATAACGAACTAATTAAAATTTTGATTAAATTACAGGCATCAACATATTAATTTAAGATTTGATTTCTTTAAAGGGAGAAAATTATATTTTATAAAATGAAGTGTAATAATATTTGTTGATAAAAAATCAATGATAAACATTATAGTTAATTTTAAATTTCATTATACAAGTATTTGATTTTAGCACAATTCTCTATTGTGATTTTTTAATTAACAATTTTTATTGTATTTTATTGTCTAAAGTATACCCTTCACTTTAGATGAGTCAAATTTATATATTAAATATAATTATTAATAAGTTTTAATAGATTTATTTCACTCAATAACACATAATGTATATTGAATTTCAATGATTCAACCATTAAATTAAAAGATCTTAATATATAAATTATGTTTATAAGTTTTTTAAAAAATTGAAAATCATATGATACTTCACTTTATCAATTCAAAATTGACAGATAAAATACTTTTATGATTATCCGTCAATTTGAATTATTAAAATAAAATATTGAATAATTTTTAATTTTATAAAAATTATAATTTTGATATTTGTATGAAAAAAATTTAATTTATTAATTGAATTATTAAAACTCAATGTAGATGATGAGTCATTGAGTAAAATAAATTTATGAAAACTTACACTTCAAATAAATGAATCTCCCTCTTTTTATATAATAACTCATTTATTGAATATATTATTGAGTATTAAAGGTCTTTAATACTTTTTTTTAATGCATATAATGTTTTCATCATTTGTTACCGTTTTATGTGATAAAAATGAAACATTAATTATGATATAATTTATTTATCTATGATCATGGTTGACGTTATAAGTATCACGGATGGATGATCATTTAGTTGTGGAATCAAAATGCAGCTTTAAGATTGTGGAATTGAAAATATAGAAACCAAATTGAGTATTAGATCTAATAAATATTTGGCTAAACTACACATTTAAAATAACCAATAATTATCATTTTTTATTGAGTAATAATCACTGATAATTTATTTATTTTTTTACTGAAATCACCAATACTTTTACAGTTTATACTTTATATATATCTATAAATAAATTGTTTCCTCGTATGTATGTTGTTATTTTATCTTTCATTAGGTTATTTTTACAATAATATATTTTTCATTGAATTTTAAAAAATAATTTAATATATTTTATGCTTTCGATTATTTTTAATTTAGCTTTTTCATATAACTCACAATAATATACCAATTATTTATTATTTGTAGAAATTCATGTGCCACGTACATAGATTTTAATTAATTTAACTATACTTTTATTTGGATAAATTTCTATATATTAGAAAAAAAAATGAGAAAAATTATTTATAGTTAAAATTAACTTATCCACAAGTTAAAGTTAATTTTTTTTAAGAAGTTAAAATCATTTAACCACCAAAAAAATAGATGTTAACTTATAAGATTATTTTTTTTCTTTCTATTTTTTCTCTAATAATAAGTATCTATGAAAAAAAAAATCCGAATCCTAACATTCTTTAATGAAGATTGTGAAAACAATATAAAATGAAAATATAACATTAATTATTTTATTTTTCTGTCAAAGCTAGTTTGGCATATACGATTAACATTAATTGTTTTGTTTTTGTATCTTAAAGTTTCATCACTTTATAAATCAGGCTTTGGTTATTGTGTTTCTTCAAAGTTGAGGAATGAAGAGTAATCATGGAGCCATGGGGTTACAAAATTTGGTATTGATAGCTTTTACGGTTGCATTGGTTGATGGTGGAAGTGCTTTCGTTCAGCGAAATGCCACTCATTTTATTCTAAATGGGAAGCCATATTACTTGAATGGCTTCAATGCCTACTGGTTAATGTACATGGCATCTGACCCTTCTACATCTTCCAAAGTTACTTCCATTTATCAACAAGCTTCTCAACATGGTTTAAACGTTGCAAGAACAATGGCCTTTAATGATGGAACTTACAGAGCCCTTCAAATTTCTCCTGGTTCTTATGATGAAACTGTGTTTAAGGTATTGCATTTTAATTCATTTCTTCTCTAAATTTGTTTTTTTTCTCCATAAATTTAAAATGATCTTTTTAATTTATACAAACTATTAAGATTGTAATAGATTGAAATAACTATGTAACAATAATTAAGTTTAATATGACTTTTTTAGTAATATAAACACTGATAAATTAAGTTAAATTTTATTTGACAAATTTACAGAGATTAAAATAATATTTTTTAATTATGAGGATTAAAAATATTAATTTTAAATTTCAAGAATCAAAATAAGTTTCCTTCATATTTGAGATACTAAAAATATATTTTGGTGTAATTTTTATGCATATATAATAACCATTAACCATTTTTTGGTTGTTGGATTGTACTTTGGTGAATGTGTAGGGACTAGATTTTGTAATATCAGAAGCAGGAAAATATGGGGTACGAATAATACTGAGCCTGGTGAATAATTGGAAAAGTTTTGGAGGCAAAAGTAAATATGTGGAATGGGCAAGAGAACGTGGCCAGAATGTGAGCAACGATGATGATTTCTTTACACACCCCGTTGTTAAGCAATATTACAAAAACCATATTAAGGTACAAACTCTAATTTGTTTTTGTAGTTTTCTTTTATTTCCCTCTCTTATAGAAACTTTGGATGGATTGCAGGTTATGCTCTCGAGAAATAACACAATAACCGGAAAAATATATAAAGATGACCAAACCATTTTTGCATGGGAACTTATGAATGAACCTCGTGTCCAAAATGACTTATCAGGAAAATCATTTCAGGTTGGTTGAGATTTTTGAATATATTATATTAAACCAAGGACACTTGCATGTCCAAGTGTAAATTACATGATTGTGCTTTTGAGCTTAAAACATAATTATAAAGAATCCTATTTACATATAGGTTTGGGTGAATGAGATGGCAGCTTATGTGAAATCCCTTGATAGCAATCATTTGCTGGAAATAGGGCTTGAAGGGTTCTATGGTGAATCAATGCCACAAAAGAAACGGTTCAATCCTGCTGGATTCCAAAGTGGAACTGATTTTATTTCCAACAACCAACTTCCTCAAATTGATTTTGCTACCATTCATCTCTATCCTGATCAGTGGTAAACTATATAAAACTCATAATTTGTTTCATTTATAAAACTCATAATTTGTTTCATTTATAAAACTCATCAACTGTATGAGTGTGGAGATCAAAATATCTGACGAAAAATGCTATCTGATACAATACAATCTTTTAAATACATTTCTTTTGTTTGATTGAAATTTATTAGTTGAGTTTCATGTCTAATTAAATGAATGGGATTATGGATGCAGGCTAGTGGGCTTCAACGAGACAGCCCAAAATGTATTTGGTGACGAATGGGTCAAAGCTCACATCGAAGACTCGAGTGATGTTTTAGGAAAGCCCATTGTGCTAACCGAGTTTGGGTTTTCTTCAAAATCATATGAATATAGTGTAGGAAAAAGGGATAATTATTTTGAGAAACTATATAATATGATATATAGCAGTGCCAGCAGAGGGGGCCCATGTGCAGGTGGGCTTTTCTGGCAACTCCTGGCAGGAGATATGAGTGGCTTTGGGGATGGCTATGAAGTCATCTTTGGAGAGAGCCCCTCAACGACCAATATCATCACACAACAATCAAAGAACATGTTTAATATCAAATAGTATTATGTCAAAAGGAAAAAAACAATCCATTCTTCTTGACCATCACAAATTCATCATGGTTATCAATACCATAATATGGATAGAAAAGAGAAAATAGAGAAACAAGTTCTCTTTTAAACGATAAATGTTCCTTTTCATTATACCCTACTTCTTATTTGCACTGTTGGGTGGCCTGGTTTTTACTTATTACATTTATTCCTTTTATTTTTGTCTATTTCATAATTTAACTTAAGATTGAGATATAACTAACATTTGTTTTTATATAGAAAATATTTTATTTATTTTTGTAATATAAAGAAGATATGTAAAAGAATAAGATCACTATGCGTAATAACATACAAATCGGTTAAATCAACAATTTGTTTTTTTTATTATTTTATATCAAGTACAAAATATTGATTGATTAATTAATGATTAATCCGTCAAAAACTTGATTGTTATATGTGCAAATCAATAAATTGAAGCGCAACTTAAACGGTTGCAAGCAGAAGTTATAGGTTGAAAAACATGGGGTACGATGTTGATTGCTGGAAGGAATAAAGAAAAAGTGGAGGTTAAGAAATGGAAAAAGATTAATACATATCTACAACGTACGTTACAATAAGTTAAGGAAACGTGAAACAAATTAGAGTTACACTGGATGCAATTAATTTCTAGCTCCGTTCTCTTTATGATGTACAAAACAGATTGTGTTGCATCATCTTATTCTTTTTCCAAAACTTTTAAGCTTTCAAATTATGGGCTGCAGCAAGTTCAGCAGAGAGGATAAAAGCTGATTTTCCTGCTTCCCTTAGATAGCGAACATCTCCATTCATCAGCTTCAGCAGCTTTCTGCTGATGAGAAGGCTAATACCCTCCTCAGATTCTAGCCCATTATTTCCAAACATTTGGTTCAGTAACGCTTCTGGCACCCCACTGCCACCGTGTGTTATGCTACATAATAACCAAAAAATAATCAATCATTAGTTTAACCTAAACTTAGCTGTGAATCAAGGTTATAATGCAAGTTTCTTTGCCTAGAACAATCTGTTAATCATGCATCAATCAATGTCACATTGTTTCCTCCTGGCATTTGAATCACATGCAGTGGGAATACAAATAGCACATTCAGATTAATTAAATGAATGGATTTCAAATGCTATGGAACAGTTACCTTAGCTCTAATTTAACAAGATGGACGGATTTTCCTAACTGTTCTTTGGTTAGAGAGCCTGCTACAACAACTTGACCTCCATTTGGCGTGAAATTGATGGAAATAAGTAAAAAGTCGGCCAAGACCTGCTGAAGCCTAAGACTATCACCATATAATGTTTCCATCACGATCTGCTCTGTAACATCATTGACTATTCGGATACTCTTTCCATTACTTTTTGTCATGACTTGACTGAAGGAGGCAACCAGGACTTCATGCAGAGTGAATTCAGCCATCTCAAGATCCAAGTAACTGTTAAACAAACAGGAAAAAAAGGATTATAAAACTGTTATGAAAGATGTCAAGACCAATTAATGAGAAAACTAGGAAGTTTTGTTCGTGTTTGTGTATTCATAATTTCACATACACAACCTAATCTAGCACAACAGATTGATTTTGAAAGCAGTGTGAATAAAAAGTAAACATCCACATTGTATGCCTTTTTTCAAAGAAGTTAATACTTAAACATTCTATATAGGTACACCTTAACAAAACATGACAAAACTACAAAACAAGAACCATGAGAACAACAAAACATGATAACAACAAACAAACACCCGATATCAGTTGTGTTGTACTTGTCAATTTTTTTTGGAGTTTAGTTGCATGAATGAGGTTACCTTTCAAGTCTTGAGTTTCAATGAGGTTTCAAATAGGAGCTTCTATGCTCTAATAGGAGCTCCAACTAAATACTTCACACCAAGATCACACAAATGTATAAAATAAGGGAGAAAAAAAGAAAAACATTCACAGATATCATACCCATCTATGATGCTGTCAAGGTCTGAGTCATCAAGAATTTTGCTAAGCTGCCGCTGGCACTGAGCACTAGTGTGCAGAAGTTGTTTCTGTTCTGTTCCCAAGTCAGTACCCTCCAACATTTTCCGGGAAAATATAATTCCGCATAAAGGATTCCTGATCTGCCTTTTCATGTAAGTTAATGCATTCAATCTCTTCAAGGCAGTTTGCTCAGATAGGCGCTGAATATGTAATGCTTGTTGTAGCTCTGGACTAGCTAGCTGTAAGAAGCAGAAGACCCCAGTAACTAGGCCCTCTACATCCAATTTCTTACTCACAGAAAGCAGGCATTCTACATACTTGCCATTCCGAGCAAAGAAACCAAAAGCAACCTTCTCTGTTTCTGAACCAGTCATGGCTTTATTGATTACAATGCCAAAATTAACAAAAGCTTCTTGATTTTTTAGACGACAACAAGCCATCTGGGTGCCAAAAACCTCTCCCAAAAGCATTTTATCCATCACCTCCTCTCGTTTCCATCCAGTTAACTTTGTCATAGCTGGATTCCACTCACAACACCAGCCAAATTCATCTGTGCCAAATATAGGAGGGATTAATGGATTGCGGTTCTGTACAATTGCCTTGTAATCACCTTCAATACGGGTGAATTTGTCCATGACATTCTTCTGAGCAGTTATATCATGGGCCACAAAACAAACCCCGACAACATTCTCTCGAAGATCCCTACTTGCACAAGCGTTTACTACTAAACTAATGGGACCAGAATCCATCTTAGACTCGTGCGTTTTGATCTCAAATTGGACATTCTTCTCTTCTTCACCTGATTATCAGAACAAAACAACAATTAAGAAATATGGAAATCAGGTTAGATGAATGTAATTCCATTGTGTCACAGAAATAGCATCAATTTCTCCCACTAAGCCCCCAAACTCCTATCCTAGGGTGTTCCATTTCTTCCCAAGTATTGTAAGGGCACCAAATTGAATGAAAATGACAACAAAACATACTTTTAAGCTAAATAGATAAAGGCACACACTAACTCTGTTTTAAGCTTTTGTTTATGAATGATAAGGCTTTAAAAAACAAAGTAATACAGATAAGGATAAATAAGGAGAAATAAAAAAAATACCTTGCAGTGCCAAATCAAGCATCTTCTTGACTCTATCAGTTGAAGAATCCTCAACAAGTGTGAGTAAATGCTTTCCAATAGCTTCACTAACAGGAAGACCTGTCAACTCAGCAATTTTTATGTTCCATCCATTGACTAGCCCATCAACATCAACTGCCAAAATAGGCACTGTTGCTGTTTCTATCAACCTAACCATCTCACTTGTTACTGCTTCCAGTTCCTGCATCCCTTCTATCTTCAAATCGCTTAGTCTTGTATTAATAGCATTTGTCTGTATATCTGTACTCTCAGTGTCTTTGAATGCATTTCTCAGTATTAACTGCAAGGAATGAATAGCATCCATTTCATAGTCCTTCCATGGTAAGCTCCTTGACTTCACAACTTGAAGGAAAGCCTTGAATGATGATCTTGGATGCATCCTCCTACCATCATCTTTTTCACCAGGTTCATGCTTTGCACCACCCCATCGGATTTCTGCAGCAGTGTGTGACCGAAACCAAAATACAACATCTTTCGCAGTTATTCTAACAGCTGCCATTCCACACACAATATCACCAAGAGAAAGAGCCGATGGGAAGCCTGCATCAGACAAGCTATCTGTACTCAAGCCTGTGGAATCCATATGGTACTCAGACAACCACAAAGCTATGTCTCTTATCTGAGATTCACTTGGTGTCACTCCTAATCTCCACACCTTGTTCTTATACAAGAGGGCAGCTCCATCACATTTCACTAGATCCATTATATTAGGGCTCTGTGATACAATTCCTAGGGGTGCATCTCGCATCAGCATATCACACAAGAGTGTCTGGGTGCGCAGGATATTTTTCTCAATAATCTGATATTCTAACTCTATTTCTTTGTTCACATGGATGGCAAACACTTGAGCCAGAAATTCACAAGCATACCTTAGAGGAAAGGGAACAAACCTGGGAGTAGTGTTATGGCAGACTACCAAACCCCAAAGTCTCTTTCTCTTTTGTGGCTGAACAGCATCAGTGTCCCCATCTTCTTCATTGTCATTGACTACAACTGCCATAACCAGGGAAGCAATTGAGTCCATATTTGACATGTATTGTGCGTGGCAACTATGAGGAGCCCTCAAGGTGGAACCACACAAAGTCAAATCAAATGGGAGTTTTTCATCTTGAAGAACCTTCACATGTTTTGCATGACAATCAACTATCATACGGACCTTGTTCTTTGTAAACAAAAAGCGAGAGGCCTGGGGAATATCAGTGGCTGGATAGTGCAAACCCAGATATGGCTCAAGGCCAGGCTTTGTTATCTCAGCAATCACCTCCCCATGATCATCCTCGTGAAATTTATAAGCCATCACCCTGTCATAACCTGTGAGCTCAAAAACTTCTTGAACCATGGTATCACATAGTCTTTCGATGCTCCCACTGGGCAAGGATTGCAACCGGGTAATTGCCTTGGCAGCAAGCTTGTAAGACTGCAAGGCACCTGCTGCAGTCATGGGAACTTCATAAGGCTTGACGGGCTCAAAATCAATGATCAAACTACCAGTAACACGGTGGATAATTGCATAAAAGGGCTTCCCAGAGGTCTTGCAATGAACAAGGATGGGGTTAAGAAGCGAAACCTCCGCAAACCCTAGAGCCTTCTGCAATGCAGAAGCACTTGGTGCAGTGAAGAGAGTTTTTATGTCAGTGCCAATGCCAAGGGCAGGGTGGTCACCAACACTGGGGACAGCATGACTCACCATGGTCAGCATTTCAGGTGCATTCTCACTGTATGCAATGACCTTACATGTTTTCTCATCTAAAGCCAGCAAACACCCAAAAGGCTGAATCATCTTGCCTCTTTGTATGTGATGGAGGTAAGCCGTTGTAACTTTGTCAGACCTCGGTTGATTGACTCCATCAGCTGTACCAGACACACGCACTGAACTGGAGTAGTCAAAGGAACTACCAGACTCCTCAAAAGTTGCATGGAGTTTTGCATCTACAGTTGTCTGAGCAAGAACCCTGGCACTATGTCTTGATCTCCCTGAATTGCTGGACGATTGGCTAGGCCTTGAGGTCGACATTGTCACTCCAAACGGCACTTCAAATGTCAAAATAA